GCAGACTCTTTTACACCTTGACTATTACCACCAGGAACCCTGGTGAGCAATGGTTCAGACACTCACTGGTTAACCAGAAGGTCAGCAGTTCCAGCCTATGGGCCGCTCCAGGAGAGCAAAGGCCTGGCAATGTGCTCCCATTCTGCCACTGTGAACCAGAACCGATGCAGCAAACGCTGTTTGCTGTCTGCTGGTCAGTCGTAGGGATGTGGGCTAGGTCAGCCGGGCTGCTGTCCACGCTGGTCTGGGAGTCAGGTGCGTTGGCTTCCTTTGTTACCTCGTCTGCTGCACCAGGCGGACCACAGCGAGTGGCTTTCCCACACAGCTCAGGAGTCGGAAGCCCAAGTTCAGAGCACCGGCTCAAAAGAGGGGAGGCTTCCTGTCTGTTGGCTCTGGAGGAAGGTTCTCGACTCTCTGCTTCTGCTTCCTGATCTGCTTAAAGATCTCTGCCTGGCTTGGCATCTCTCGTCCCCATTTCGGCTACGGGGGGAACCTCTTTTATATCTCAGAAGGGATGAACGGACAGCTCATCCCAAAGAGGGGTCTACGGCAGGCACAGAAGCTGGGGTGTACAGCCCATCTTTCTGGGCGACGCAGAGTAACAGGTGCAATGCCTGCAAAACTCACTGCTGTTGTAGTGCGGGCCTCCAGAAGGTTCCAAGTCTTAACCACCCGACGCAGCACAGAAGCAAACGCCGCCCGTCCTGCGGGCTCCTCACATTGCTCTTACGCCTGAGCCACAGGGGCAGCCGTGGCGTCCTCTTTGTTGCTGTCTCTCCACTTTACCAAGCGCAATGTCCTTCTCCAGGGACTGTCTCCCCTGACGACACGCCCCAGGTACGTGAGACGGCGTCTCGCCCTGCTTGCCTCTCAGGAGCGCTCTGGCTGTACTTCTTCCAAGACAGGTCTGCCGGTTCTTGTGAAATCCGCATCCATAAGCAAAGTCAAACCAGGACAGGCCATCCAGAAAGGCGGCAGCAATATGCACCAGTGCGCAGGCTAAACTATCTTCTCTTCATCTGGTCGGGTTCTGGCCAACTCAACGTGGGCTGCCTCACTTAGCCTCACCAGGGTGTCCACTGACTGCCTCACCTTTAGACCATGGGCCCCATCGCAAATTCTCAACAAGCCTAGTCTCCTTGTGCTAGGTCATGAACTTCAGACCAGTCAACCCGTTCTCGTCTTTCCTGTAAACTAAGTCCACGGTGTCAGTGGTCAGATTCAACCCGTCTCTCTGTTGCTGCATTTCTCCCACTTCCACTCAACAAGTGGATCCAGGTGGTCACCTAGCAAGCATCTCAGCCTGCCCACAGGCTCCCTTTAACATTCAGTCCCAGAGAGGAGTTTTCTTCATGGTTCCAGATTCTTTCCAGCTTCTGACAAAAACCACTAGAGTTCAAACTTCTTTCACATGATATTTTTAAAAGTCCAATTTAATGCAAAAACACCTATTATGAACCAGATATCAAGACTGTGTACCAAGACGAGCTCCAATCCTGTACTTATAGGCTCCTGCCTCACCACCTTCTAAT